TTCAGGGACCTGTGACCTAACCCAGAAAGACCGGTTTGAAAGTGTTGGTTTGAAAAGTGGAGACCCATGACCTCAGGTAAGTCATTCTAGCTCGGGTTGTTAGAAAGGGGCCCTAGCCCACTTTTCGGGATGGGTCGGGTTTACAGGTTGGATCGACTTTTTGTCAGGTTTATGTTAAACCACAGTAGAACTCCTATATGTATCCAAATGAACGTTTGGCCCTCCAACAAGATTCCCATCTAAATGGGTGAGATTTCTCAGTTAACAACTACAATGTCAAATGGGAAGTACACCCTTTTTGTTGGTTGCTACTTGCTACTATCTTTGGTGGGATTACTGTACTTGGGTAATTGGGTTCCAAAGGCTGCATTTGCAAGCAATGCAAATAAGTATTAATGTAAATATTTAAAGTGTAAAAGGGTTTATATAAATTGTAAAATTGGGTTAGTTTTGCACTGATAAATTTATCTTTTTACCAAACAGATTTTTAGCTGTAATAGATGCAAACATGAATTCCAATAAAGCATATGTATTTTTTTTTTTTCTATCAAAAGCCCACTTGAATGCAAACTTACTTTTTTTTTTATTATTTTTTATCAAAGACCCATTTGGAAGGAGTAGAAATGCAAATTTGTAGAGTGCAAAACCTAATATTTTGTATTATTTTGTACAAGGTTTTAAAAACCGACCTGGAAACGAACCGTTATGGGCACCGTTTTCTGGTTCGGTGGTTCAATCATCTAGGTCGAACGGTTCGACCCGTGATGTCATAAATAAATTAAAAAAAAAATATATATATATATATATATAATAAAAATATCATAAAGAATAAAATAAAATACAGAAAAAATAAATATATCTAAATATAAAAATAATAAAATACAAAAAAAAAAACAGAAAAAATTCCAAAAATTATAGAAAAATCCAAAAATATAGAAAAAATTCCAAAAAATACAGAAAATTACAAAGCATTAGATAAAATTTACCAGTTGAACATACCTTCCACCACCTAGCATCCAAGGCTTTTTCTTATTTCATTAAAAATATTAAAAAAGTACAAAGCCCTGTACAACGAAGATCTGTACAAGGATAACCAAATCTGAACCTATAGGTCCTATACTCATTCTCAGATATAACTTTTTGTAGCTTTACAAAAGGATAATTCCAATAAAAAAAGTATGAGCTGCTTGTTTTTTCACTTTTTGTTTAATACAATGAAGAGAAGAGGTAAAAAGAAATGAGAAATAAAACGCTTAAACAAGTTAATGGTTCGGAACTGAACAGTGGTAACCGTCTCACTTAGTTACCTGGAAAATCACAGTGTTCGCCGGCAGTTGCAGTGAAGAATTGAAGATAGTCGCTGGAGGTTGGAGTCCATAGTGTTCGCCGGTAACCGCTGCGAAGATAATCGCCGGAGCCGTTCCTTTCAAGATGCGGTTGAAAAAGAGTGAAAGCTTTTGGTTTCACAGTGTTCGCCGGCAGCTACAGTGAAGCTTTAGTCACCAGCTGCTGCTGCAACTTTGGTCGCTGGCGGGTGTTTGCTTGGATTCTGGGAAGGGTGGTGTTGGTGTATCGCCGCCTGAAGGCTTGTTTAACGGTGCCCATAACGTTGGATGTTAGGAACTTAGGATAGATTTGGCATTTTATTTTTGTTTTATTAAAAAAGAAAACAGAATTTATAAAATACCGAACCGCTAACCGTTGGTCGGGTCGAACGGGTTGACTGTTTTTTGACTTTGTCAACGTTTTTCTGCTAAATGATGGTTCGAGGTAAACCCAAAACCGTTTGAGTGACCGGTTTCCGGTCCAAACCATCCGACCGTCCGGGTCAACGACGGTTCGAAAATGTTGATTTTATATGTATTTACGCTGTAAATATTTGCATTTGTACTGCTTCCAAACTGAGCCTGATGTACTTTTACATCTTATTATCAATGTAAATATGCATTGGCCTATCATTTGTCAATGCATAAATGTAATGTTATCAAATACAGGCAAAAGTGAACTAGCAAATTTATCCTAAACCGGGATTTAAACTCTATTCGCAAATGTTCCCAAATTCAGCAAAAGGACCAAACCTAACAACACATTCCTGTGCAGAATAATGGGCTTGATTGCAACCTGACTCGAGTTCAGATGTGCACCCCACAAGGGGGCGCCCCACAATGTCCCACAACACATTCCTGCCGTGTATTGGGAACATCTCCCGATGATGACAACACCATTTTTGGTACATCATCAGGAGATGTTCCCAATACACGGCAGGAATGTGCTGTGGGACGTTGTGGGACACTCCCTTGTGGGGCGCAGATGTGAACTCGCTACGTGTACTGACACCCTATAACTGTTAGTATGCATTCCTTGTTTGGAATTATTTTGGTGACTTACCACTAGATGATGCTCTGGTTATAACTTATAAATAAAGCTTGGGCCGTGTTGCAGCTCACGAAGGCTCGGCCCATTACCCATGCACTCCTAGTGGTGGAATCAATGGTACTGTAGTCATACTCATGCTAACTGATTTAAGCAACAGTTTCGAGATAGAAAAGGAAAAGTACTTTTATCTTCTTTTTGCTTTAAAAGGAAAAGGATTGTGCACGCAAGAAAGTCACAGTTGGGAAGGAATCTCCCAGGGAGACCCCACAAGGAACCGAACTCCGGCTGGATGGCAATGTCAGTGCTGGTGAAACAAACCTAGATTATTGCTCAAATAAAGAAATAGCAATGGACAGAGACAGTGCCATTCCGAGTGCCTGACTGGTCTGAGTCCTGCTTGAATTTGGTCGGAAATTTTCGAACCCAATCTATTTTTTGTGCACACCCTGACTGGACTACTGGAGACACCTACCTGTTCACAGTGCATGATCTTGCCAATGTAGATGCTCAACAAACAACAATGGGGTTGAAGTTGAAATTGAGAAGCAAAAGAGTCATCATCACCAACCCCAAAGTAAGGGTATAAACGGATCGAATTTGAATTAGATCAGACAATATCCGATTAAAAAATTCGACATTCAAATTCGATTAATTAATTATTTTAGATAATTATAAATATATAAAATAAATATTTTATTTATATAAATATATATAATTTAATTATTATATATATAAATTATATAAGACATTTAAATATTTTATATAAAAAATAAATAATCGATCGAATTCAAATAATTATCATATGCGAATTCAAATCCAAATCCGATTAGCTATCAGTATCAATAAGATATTTAAATTTGATCAATTAAATATTCAAATTGTCTAAATTCGAAGTCAAATTTAAAATCAAATTTTCGAATACCATTGATACCCCTACCCCCTGCCCAACAAAAAAACCATGTCAATGTCCCAAAGAAATTACTTATTTATTAACTCCCCACATCCCTAGAAGGTGGATTTATTGAATCTATGCCAAGTAAAACCGTCCCTGAATGATACTGGTCCCGTAGCCGACCTACCACTACGGAGAATGGAGAGCGGCAGCCCTGACCAATAACAAACTCAAGGTATTATATAGGTTCTGACCGGCCATACCCAACCTTGAGACACTGTCCGTCTAAGATGATGGCTCTGATTATATTGTTTTATCATTGGAAGACGTATAGAGTATGATTAACATTGAAATAGAGAGATCGTCTCTCTCTCTCTATATCTCTCTCTCTCACATACAAATATTTAAAAACTCTGTTGCTAGTTGAAAGAGATGGTCAACCAGAGCAGATGCAACTGAAGAGCCGACAAACTCACAAAACAACCAGCACCAAAACAGCGGCGATCACTATTTTACTGATATTATAAGGTAAAATCAAGGTCATCTTCCACAACGTTCAATACAGCCACCAGCCATTTTAAAACCACCCCCACTTCTGAGCAGCAACTAGCAAGCTACTTGATTGGCGTAGTAACCGCATGGATTAAGACTGATTCCACCAGCAAAAACATGTTAATATTCACTGAAAAAATGGCTTTCCAGGTTCAAAAGCCTCTTGAATCTTATTGTGGTGGCTACTGTATGTGGGTCTCCATACAGTGACAGAGACTTCAGAAAATATAGAAATTAGAAAAGATGGTCAAAAGGTGCGTCCAGCATCGACTCCAGAAAAGCTACTACTTACAGGGGTTCCACCAACTATGCTTGGCCTCCTAGAACCCATCAAAAGTTTCACTAAAGAAGTTTGCTGGAACGCAGTATATGTAATGCAGGCCATCCATGGCAAATCTGCTACTATACTGGTACTCCGCTGATACTTCAGCTATAAATAAAATGGAGTTGCTTTTAACAACCCTGGGAATTAACATGTGAACAATCAATCATACAAGCTTCTGAAAGCTATACTGTTGGTAGACACACAAGAGAAATGACCGTGTGCAGCTACCAGTACTTAGTTGAGAGCTACAGCTGGAGTGGCCTCTATACACCCTGAAAGTTTTAGAAATTAACGTGTGAATACATACAACAATAAGAAAGCTATATTGTTGATAGGAACATACGAGGGATGATTGTCCACGCCCTCAGAAACCTCCAAGGGAATATGAGAAGAAGAGAGAACAACAAGGTCAAAGGAAATGAAACAAAAACAAACTTTTTTGCTAATACTGCATAATTGTCATCACTGTGGAGTCCTTGGAGGGATAGGGACTCGCCAGATGAGAAAGGCACTACCCTTGGTGGCTACAGTCTTCATCAAAGGAACCAATGAAAACAATGTCCAGGCACTTGCCCTTTGCTAACATCACGACAAAGATAACAGATTGATCTGAGAGAGAGAGACTTGAAAAGAAATTAAAACAAATACGGCTCTGAAACAGCTTAATCATGCCTTCAACCGAAAACTCAATTTGGAACCCCACAAGTTACAATTTCTGACTACACAAGCATATAGAAACAAATCAGGAATGTGCCACAATCCCTGAATATATTATCTCTGGGGTACAATGTTTCAGCGGGTATTTCACATGCTTACAAAATCCCAATCTGCTTAGCCAAATGACAGAAAAAGATATGGGTATGGTAAAAGAGAAAATAGTACATTAGAAGTGCTATTCAGTGCTGGAACCACTACACCATTCAGTGTAAGATGAGCATACAAAGGTCACTCAGAATTATAGAAACTCATTTGAAGAAAAGCAAATGAGCAGAAGGCCTCAAAGAAAATAAAAAGAATACAAACTTATAAATGTAATTTACATTCTCATCTAACAAGAGAATCCTGAAGAAATAAAAGAAATTCCTTAAAAGAAATTGACCCTGTGGATATAAACGATTTCAAGAAGCTCTTCAGAATCTCAAGGTTTTTACTGCCACCGAGCAAGGCCAATGGAAACTGAACAACAAGCTTAGGATTATGTTGTAAAGTGTAAACACCTATTTACAGACAAATGAAGCACCGAGTTGGCACAACTTCTCTTGGTAAAACTACAATAATTTACAGCACTTGGAAATAATTATGGAGAAAAAGATGATTACACTACTCTGCCTATGCGTTCATGAAGAGTAAAGAACCATGAACAAATTCACCTCATTTATGTCCAGTGAAGCCAATAATCCTTACAAGAGGGAGAATGCTTGTTCTGAAACAGAAGCTAGGCCCTGCATCAATCTAACAATTTCTGTTGTGTCATCCAGATAATACTTTGCTTTACTGGGTTTACGACCAACAGTACATGCAAACACTTCAGCAGTGGGAGGTAAAGATGGACCTGCAATGGAACTGGTTATCACTTCGAACATGTCATCATCAGACCTGTCATCACCTATGCATAGAACAAAATCTGGCACCATTTCCCTCTCCATCATGGTGGAAAGTAGGCGTTCAGCCACAAGTCCCTTGTTCACACCCTGCATAGATAAAGATATTCAGGATTAGTATGTAGTGATGAGGATTCCAAAATGATAACAGAACATGAGAAGTTGAAAAAGGAATATATGATTCCAAACCTGTGGCTTAACCTCCACAACATTCTGCCCACGCTTGACAGAAACTGGCTCATTTGCAAGGACACTTTCAAGATGATCAAGAAGTTCCTTAGCTTGGCAAGATCCAAAATCAGGATCAGCATCCTCATAACACCACACCAATGCTGTTTCCTTGTCTTCAATTGTGGATCCATCAGTTGTTTCTGTGTAAAGTTTCATGACAGGCCTGGCAATCTGTTTCCAACTGCAATCTGCCATGGGAAAACACGTTTCCCATTCAGCATCTCGCTTCAATCTGCAACAATTTGATCACAAGATCAATCATCAATTAAGCCCCATTGCATTTTGTAAACTAAAGAGATGGAGTGCAAAAGTTACAAATAACTCACCTTAAAAAGTAGCCATGCTCTGCAGCAATCCCTAATTTTTCACAAGGAGAAAACCATTCACTTAGAGTCTCCCGGCTTCTAGCACTTACAAGAAAGACCATATTGTTCTTATCTCTACATAAACTGTTTAAGATTTCAATGGATTTTGAGCTCGGGCTCTTATCAATAGAAGCCTGGGGCATCAGAGTCCCATCATAATCTAGAAGGATGGCTCTAGTTTTAGTCCTTTTATAGGCTGACACTATGTGCTCCATGGAAAGCTTCCTGAAATTTGGGTCAAGTGCCACAACCCTGAATCCCAAACCAAACCCAATACCCCAGCATCTCCGCCTCACATGATCCTTGCATGTCCTTTCCAGATCCTGCAGGAAGCTGTGTGCCCAATACCCAACATGATGGGTACTCACATACCTATAATGTTTCTCATGTCGGAGCTGTTTCTCTGAATCTGCCATCTCTAGTGCAAGGTCCATTGCATCTGCCACAGCATCAATGTTCCATGGATTAACTCGGATAGCTCCACTCAGAGAAGGGGAACAACCAATAAACTCGGAAACAACTAGCATGCTCTTCTTAGGAGATGATGCACCCAACCCCAAGACCTTATCCAATCTCTCATTTCCTTGGCGACTGATGATATATTCATATGGAATGAGGTTCATCCCATCTCTCACTGCTGTGACCAGACAACACTCGGCAACTGCGTAATAAGCAATTCTCTCAAAGAACTGAAGCGGCTGATCAATCAGGACAACAGGCTGATATCCAGGCTGACCAAAAGCTTCATTAATTTTCTTCACAGTTGCGTATGTCTCAGCTTGCACTTCCTTCACATCTTTTCCCCGGCCCCTGGCTGGATTGGCTATCTGTACCAATACCACCTTTCCCCGCCACTCTGGATGCTGCACAAGCAACTGCTCCAAAGCCAACAACTTCAAGGTTATACCTTTGAATATATCCATGTCATCCACACCAAGTAGCATTATTCTTCCCCTATCAGTGAACTCCTTAATGAGCTCTGCAACCTTAACTTCGGTCTCTGGAAGACTCAGCACTGACTGAAGCTGACCCATGTGGATACCAACAGGAAGGATCTTAATACTCACAGTTCGACCATAATACTCAAGGCCAATATAACCTCGCTTTGACTCATAGGTGAGCCCAAGCATCCTACTACAACAAGAGAGGAAATGCCGGGCATAATCAAATGTATGGAAACCAATCAGATCAGAATTCAACAAGGAACGTAATAACTCTTCTCTGACAGGCAATGTCTTATAGATCTCTGAAGAGGGAAATGGGCTGTGAAGAAAGAATCCAAGCTTGACCCGGTTGAACCTCTTCCTCAAGAATGTTGGCAACACCATCAGGTGATAATCATGGACCCAGACGAAATCATCCTCTGGGTTGATCACTTCTAAGATCCTATCTGCAAAGATCTTATTAACTGATACATAAGCCTGCCACAGTGACCGATCAAAACGACCGCCGAGGTCTGGTGAGAGTGGTAACATGTAATGGAACAGCGGCCATAACTGCTGCTTGCAGAATCGATGATAGTACCGGCTAAACAAGTCAGGCGGAAGGAAAGTGGGAACACATTTGAAGGTCTCAAGAAGGATCTGAGAGACATCCTCCTGTTCACTTGGGTGAATTTCCTCCTTAAGACAACCCACATAGATAACCTCGACATCTTCGTCCCCAAGCCCATCTTTCAGCTGGAGAAGAAGTGAATCATCATCCCAGCTGAAAGTCCAACCTTTATTATCTGGTTTCTTATGAGCCCTAATTGGGAGCTGGTTAGCTACAATGATGATTCGTTCACGGGGAGCAGAAGAAGAAGGATCAGAGGAAACACTATCAGCTGGGTCATCGTCGAGGTCTGAAATTATCCCAGCGACCGTCATTATACGTGGAATTCGCCGGCTCATTCGGCCGAACGACGGAGACTCGCCGGAGGCCAGCTCCAAGAGATTCGAGTAAGATCTAGACACCATACTTGTAGTTCTCACAGAGATTTAAAAGAAAAATTTTAATTAAAAGACCTACCCAATTACAAGTTCTTTTTAGAACTAGTCTAGACAGAATGAAAATGATAAAAATACTAACAAAACGGGAACATGAGATCGAATTGCTCTACTGTTTCAAGAAATTTTGCTTAGAGAATTACAGAAAAACAGGGTCTTCATTTCTGCTAAACGAAACTTCGACCGAGATCTTAACTTTACGAGTTCCTACAAATCTATAACCAAAAATGGAAAAGGGTCAGACCTCTAAGTATAGAGAAGTTGAACAATGGCATGAAACCTTTAAAAAAGGCTAAAATTTCTTCAAAATGAAGCTCAGAACACTGAATCAAGCCACGGATAAAACTCTAAAACTTTCTCCAAAACAAGAAAAGCCGATAAGAATCGAATCGATTCAGTTCTTACCTCTAAGAAATCCACTGAAAACACGAATAAAGCAATAAAATACTCGACTAACAGATTCACCCTTGAAAAGAAAAGCAAAAAAAATCTGAAAAAAAAGAAGTTGCAAGAAATTACCGTAATCGGAGAACCGAATCCCAGAACCGTGAACCCTAATCTAACCTCGTACTCTGACTCAAACCCTAATTTCTGGCACCATTTGCGACATTCATCAATGTTCTTATATAACCCATAACCCCATTTCTCTCTCTCTCTCTACTAACTGGTACTAAGCTCAAAAATATCGTAATTGTAAATAAAATACAAAACAAAATTATCCCCTTCGGATTTTTTGTGCGCAAATTGATTAAAAAAACGAGTTTATCCTTCTCCTCTTTCGTGCTATACGCCACGAGGCGCCAACTTAAAGTGGGACCCGCAGGTCCAGTCCGATCTTAGCTGTCTTGCTCCTGCCATCTTCCACGTGTCAAATCATTATTCGATTGTTGAGAAGTCCAACATGCAACGTGGCAGGTTATCTGTGCCTCATTGTAAAAGGCTGAAGCCTTGAGATTCGTATTTCACGACAGCTGTTTTTTCGGGATAATTCCCGCAAATGCACCATCGCTCCCCCGAAACACTACACAGGCTACACAGCCGTTCTTCCTTCGTCGTGACATCGTCGTGCCCGTGCCGTATTATATTGCGATACGTATCGGCCGACACGGTGGTTCGGAACGTAACAGATGTCTATATATATTTTGACTTATCATCGACCTCATAAAAGTGGGTCCCACCAAGGCATGTGTTTCTCTCAAATGATTAGTTTGGAACGAAGAAACCATGGATAAGAGTGAGAGCTTTGCCCGGATGGGGCGATACGAACGTGGACTCATGGATGGGGTGCCACGGGTCGATCTTCACCTGCGGGGAGAAACAACTTCACGAAGCCCCAGCATGACGACAGATGCGTAACCGGTGCCGGGACCCACCGAACACTCCATGTCGCAGCCGTGGCCGTGGGATGCAAGCCAGACCATCTACTCTTGTCTTAGGTGGGACCCACGCCTGTTGCGGGGTCCACTCAGCTCACTGATCGTACAATTTGCATCGGATGCCCAAAAAGCGATGATCACGAGGGACAGAATTGAAAATTCGGAGACCGGATTCTTTTGCCCCCATGAGATCTACTTGTAGATAAGGTGAAACTGTATCCCTGCTCGTGCGATCAGAGAAAAAGTAGCTTTGTCGCCGTACCCTTTCGACACGTGTCCGTATGTATTAGTAATTTTCTCATAAATAACGGGGTATTTCGGGAAATCGAGAACCTATGAACACTGATAAGTGATAACGTTTAGATAAATTATTATTTAAATAAAAGACGTAAAGACTTATAATAGTTGGCAATGTACAATGCCTCGAGTGAATAAATAAATGAGAAAATAGCAATAAAAAAGAGGGATTTTTATTTGCATTGATGATAAGCGTACGATTTGGGATTTTTTTTTTAATTCTTTTCGGGAATAAGATAAGATATTAAAAAGAGTGGATAAGTATGAAGTATGGAGAGAGAGAGAGAGACGGGGTGGGTCGTTATTGGCTATTGGTAGGACATAAACTTGGAATGGTGTGATTTGTGAGCTGTGAGAGTGAGACCCACCAAAAGAAAGCCCAAGAAGTGGAGATGCCAATGCCCAAGTCAAAGGGTAGGACACATTGCATGCCCTAGAATAGCACATTGACACCACTCGCCATAGCCCCATTCATCTGAAAGTGAGTTAGTGAGTTTCAATTCTCTCTCTCTCTCTCGTCTCAATAATGTGGGGCTGAATCCATGCTTGTAGTTGTACAAGTCAGGGCTTGGGCTGCTTGGGCCAGGTTGGAAGGGGACTAATTCAATGCACAGAAGTGGGGTGGTGTGAGGCCAGGCCAATCTCAAGCTAGATGGGTCCAGGCAACCCCCTCCTCCAACTTACATTTAGGTAAGTGTTAACGACTTAGGGTTTTTAAGTTGATGAGTGAAGGTTTGGGTCAAATTAAAAATAAGGATTAAAATATCAATATTAAATGTTATATCTGTATCAATACATCCAAATATATATATATGAATGCACAGATACAAAAGTTTTTTGAAAAATTTAAAAAATAATTTAATCATTGTTGAAACTGGATTGACTCAATCAGTGCACAAAAGAGGTGTGGTGTGATAACTTGGCCCAAACCAATCTCAAGCTAAATATGCCAAGGCAACCCCATCCCCCAAACTTATATTTATGCAAGTGCCATGGAATAGCTAATTAAGATTCTTATGTTTGGATAACTGATCAGCAATTGAAGCTGCCTTTCAAATAGGGGAGGCCCTTTTCATTTTCTAGGCAAATGGGTGACACAAGAGGAACAACCCCACAATCTCCCAACCTTGTGAAAGACATGGACTGATGCCATGTCTCCACTGCAACAGTACAGCCAACAGCCAACAGGAGATTTTCCTCCAGTAACACTAATCACCCAAAGTATCATTTTTTAATTCAAAAATTAAAAAAAAAAAAAATCTAGGCTTGCATATTGCTTGATCACCAAACCTATCCATATAAACCTTGGGCATCAAGTTCCAGCAAATGATTTATCCACCAGATGAATCTTTATACCACATGTCTTCAATTTTTACTTATTGATTCATTCAACATTAAGATGATATATGTCTATATTTATCTCAAACTAATACCCAAAACCAACAAGTTGTAGAATCTTTCACCGATTCAAAAGGAATGATGTGCAACCTACAAATCTAAGACAGGAAGTGATCAATATTGGATATTTGGATTTTTTTCAGCTTCATCATTCTAACTACTGATTACTAACCACCTAAGTCTTTTAAAAGAGGACCAGATTTTTTCTCTTTTCTTTTGTTAAAAGTGAGCAAGAAGAACCATTAAAACCAAGCTCCAAAAATGGTACATTGAGTTAAGGTTTAAAATTAGCTTATCAGGATAAGAAAAGGTCTCAAAATTCAGAATCTAGAACTTGTTTGTGCTTTGTCCCCTCCTCCATTTTGGGGGACTCTGCATTTACCAAGTCACAAAAGCACATCAATTGACATTGAACTTCACAAGTACGCTTTAGCTTGATTGTGCTCCTTTTATGTCCTTTGGCCAATATTCTTTGCTTTTCACTATCATGAATCTAGTGGTTTTCTCCTCTAGAACAGAACTAACCCCTCCTATTGAAAATTAAAAAAAAAAAAAAAGTGAAACCATTAATCAGTAAGAATTATAACAAGGCTTCCAATCTTATATGAGCTCATGTAAGCTCAGACTCAAGGGAAGCCCAACACTTAAACTGTCAATCAAAATCTTCATTATATGGGCCTTCCAATAGAACTTATTTCTGGTTCATTTTTTAATGATTTATAGTGTCCCATCTCAGCCCAAGACCCGTCTTCATGCTTTTAGTAAAATACTAAAAATAGAACCCAGATACCCTAATCTTTAGATATAGTTTTACTCAATCAAAATCTGACCCCATTAGGCTCTTTATGTGTTTTTTTTTTTTCAAACTGAGTCATGATTTATGAAATGGCACTGATAAATTGGCATTAAAGATGGCATGTAGGGAAGCCTTATAAATCACCACCAATTCCATTGCTAATAATTATTACAAGAGGCCACAGTTGGTGACAAAGTTGGCAATAGTAGAGAGAGAGAGCAAAAAAGAAAGGTACAACATGGGCCAAATGTAATGGACCCTAAGTTGTCGCCTTGACACTCCTGGGGCTCCTTCAATTAAAGAAAATATTCCTGAGTCCTTTTCCAGAATCCAAATCTCTTTACTTTCAACAATGTCTAAGATCTGTTCAATTTGTCGAAGTTTCACTGTAATTTGCCCGTACACTAAGAGAGAGAGGGGGGGTGTAGGGCACTCAATGAACAGAATGTTGTCCCTTGGGAGAAACTTGCTCCATTTTGCCAAGGGGCATTATTCCTGGGGTTAATGTCACTTGTTCCATACGTATAGAAAAAAAAAAAATTATCACTTGTTCCATCACCATCTCTGTAGTTGATAAGTTCTTATAAAGCCTTTACCATTTGGCAACAACCTCAATTTGATCATCTTTATCATCTCTACCTTTCATCAGTTGAAGAATTTCATTGACAATGGAAGCATTCAATGTCCAAAGATGCAATCACCCATTAACTTTGTTCCAATTTTGCTTTTCAAAATTAGGGTTAGCTAACCCTCTATGTTTGGTTTGAGGGAAAAGGTATGGAAAGAATGAAAAAGATAGGGAAACTTATACAAAGTTTGTAAAGATTTCCCTTTCTTTTCCTACTTTTTCCTTCAAATCAAATCTAGCCCTTATCCCTAACCCAATCCTATGAAATTAATATGATCTGAATTTCATATATATATATATATATCCATTTCATATACAAAACCCAACTTCTTAATAAAGCCATTTCCTTGTCCCCAACCCAAGACCTACTGCATGAGAGTTGGTATTCAAGCAAAAAAAAAAAAAAGTGGACTGGTGGATTGATAAACCTGATTTTGTTCAGATCTAGGTTTTCCAACTAAATCCAGCCTGATCCAAGACCCAACCACTATCCTTGAACCTGATCTATCCCTACAAAGCTCACCTTATCTTACAAATTGGTTAGCCCATCTCATTTACTTGTTTATCTTGATAGTTTATATATAGTAACTGCCTTCCCATTTACATTTTCATTTATTATTCCTTTTCCCTTTTAAATGAAGTTATAATTACTTTATTTTTATAAAAAATACATTAATTTAATATACATACACAAATAATTGATTTCCTTTATAAAAATATAATAAAGTTGACCGTACAAGAAACCTTAGCTTTGCCTAACTATTTAAATTAAAAGCGTGTAAAACATATAATATACAAATGGCTTGGTCGTAGATCCGCACTACTTAGTCACACTTTGCCTTTAATTTTAAAGTAAGATATAAAATTATAAATTAAAGCCTTGCTTTCAATAAACAAATGTAACAATTAATGTGAGACTGCCAAGTACTGGAGTTAGACCAACTTTCTCAGTTTATATATAAACACTTAGTCCTATTTGCTTCAAAAAAAGTCGTGACTTTTGGAAGTGTAAAGGGATAGAAAGCACAAAGGCCCCATGTAAAGGCATCATTATTGAAATCCCTAGTGGGTGAATTTCATATCCAGCAATTACATATATTGACACGTGGCATCTCCTAACAGGTGAACCGGGCCGGCAATGGCATCACACATGCGTGGCATGCCAACTCAGATTAGGGTTTGCTTTTTTTGAGTAGAAGCATTGCTGATTTGGATGAA